AATTTTAGAGATTGAAATAAGGAATGGGATTCGGATTTATCCATGTTTTTCAAAAATTTTTAGCATCAAGAACATAAGCACTATTTGAGTTGTAATTAGTATATTTAAATAAGACGGGCAACAGAAATAGTAGTGTATGTTATTCATGTGGTATCTGCTAGCAGGAATGTAGGAAGAAGCCTAAAACCTGAATGAGAACACTACAAAAGTTTCTGTGTCCTATACATAAAGCTTGCCTTGAGTTAGCCAGTGTCTCTGTTGTCAGGTAACCCAAGGATCTAGGCTGCTTCCACCATGTGGATCAATATCTCAACACAGACTTTGCATGTTTGCTGCTGAATTGAACAGAAAGCATCGAGGTAGCACACTGTCAAATGCCTTGATCTGAAAAGAACAAACATCTTTCTGTTCATATTTCAGTGGCAAGGGTAATCACAAAATCCTTTCTAACACAAGTGGCTGGACAATTCAGTGTCCCTGTGTGTCCAGGGAGCAGAGCAAGACAAATGTGATAAGCATGTGTAGTCTCTCCACAAACAGAGTAGGAGATTATCAGTAAAGTACACTTACAATTTGTATATAAAAGCCCTCTTCATTCTTGGAGAAGTTTCTGAGAAGGCAAAAATTGCCTTGAAACACTCCAACTTTTTATAGTGCCCACTATGTGACAGGTGTTTTCAGATACAGTTCAGTTCAGTACAGTCTCTCAGTCGTGTCTGACTCTTTATGACCCCATGGACTGCAGCACTCCAGGCTTCCCTGTCCATCACCAATTCCTGAAGTTTACTCAGACTCATGTCCATCGAGTCGATGATGCCATCTAACCATCTCATCCTCTGTCATCCCCTTCTCCCAATTTTCTAAATGACACTGTAAATCTTAGCAGGGAAGGGTCACCTTTGGTCATGAAATAGTACTGTTCTGCACTTACCTTTAGAGTAGTCTCAATCCACTGAGACTTTTCTTCTTCCTTTTGCTGCATGGTCAAAAATCACAACTAGTGAGCCTCTGCTGCCCATCACCTGATGAACACGCCTGAAAGCTTGTACAGGTGTCTTTAGGCACAGTAGAAAACCAGGGTTTTCCTCTGAGGCAGATACAAACAAGAGTCAGGAAAATGATGGTCTTTTTTTTTCTTTTTACTTCTGAAAGGTGGCATGTCTCCCGGGGAAACATTTTCTGCACTTTTGGTAGACTGAATAATTGCTCCATGAAGATGCCCATACCCTTATCCCTGAAACCTGTGAATATGTTATGTTACATGGCCAAAGGGACCTTGCAGATTTGGTAAGGTTATGCAACGAACTTTCAAATAAAGATACTGGATTACCTGGATAGACCAAATCTAATAACATGACACCTAACAAGCAGAGAACTTTCTCTGGCTTGCTGCAGGAGAGAGATGTAGCAGACAGGAAGTTAGAGAAATACCAAGCATGAGAAGGATTCAGTTTAATTGCTAACTCAAAATATATGGGCCCACATGTGAGGACTGGGGAGAAGCCTGGAGAAACTATGGCAGGTCCAGCTAACAGCAAGGAATTAGGGCCTTGGTATTATTATCACAAAGAACTAGATTCTGCCAAAACCTGAATGGTTTTGGAAGGAAATTCTTCCCAGAACACTTAAGGAGAGGTCTGGCAGCTGAAAGCTTGACTTGGGCCTTGTGAAACCCAGAACAGAGAAATCGGCAGAAGCAATTTGGATTTCTCACTCACAGACATGTGAGATCATAAATGTGTCTTGTTGTTGACTGCTAAATTTGTGGCAATTTGTGGAATACTAGCATAACCTCCTGGAAGGGCTACAGGGTCTGTTAGAATCCAGTCTCTGCAGATGGTTGTGACACAGTGACTTCCTTGGTCCTTCTTCATCCACCACTTAGAAGGAAGGCTTTGGTTCTTGGCCACTTAGTTAAGCTTACTCATCAGTGTGCAGATTCAGTGGCCAGTCTCAAATGAGTCAGTAGATTAAATCTGCTTTTCTTTTTAACCTTATCTGCCTTCTAAAACCTTATTTTTGTTGTTTAGTCTAAGTTGTGTCTGACTCTTTGCAACCCCATGGACTGCAGTGCACCAGGCTTTTGTCCTTCACTATCTCTGGAAGAACCAGTAGATCCTGTGCCTAATCTACTCATGAGCCAATTTGGAGAAAAAACTTTGAGTGTGATGGAAGCACCCAGAGCAGATGAGCAGACTTCTAAACTTCACCTCCACAGTTAACAATAGTGCTTGGGGCTGCTGCTTTTGGAGAGATTCCATGCTGAGGATGGGACAGATAGAGGATAGGTGGGTGATTCTGGGCTTTCTGTTCCACTGGGAGCAGAGTACAGCCTTACAAAAGGAAGCAGGGGAGAGCTAGACAGTAGGTCAGGATCCAGATGTGGACATAAGGGTACACTGGGGAAAACTCAGGGGAAGCGCCATGTCATTTGGAAAGGGCTGGATCTGGTACCATGTACCAGCACTGGGTAGAGTCTGCTCTGAAAGAACGCTGTGGATAGGGGCAGGAGAACCTTAGGCAAATGCAGGCCATAGATAGTCCCCACTCAGTGTTAGTTCTCGTTTTCACCTTGTTAATACACCTGGGTTTAGTACACTGGCTGCAGATGCCTTCTTTTTGTATTTCCCAGGAGATACCATACAGTAATGAGAAATGAATTAAAAGATAGAAAGTTGGCCTCAGGTTGTGAGTGGTGGAACAGTGTAGGCTGTAGAGGAATTCAGATCAGGGCGCTAGTCCCAGCTCTGTCACTTACACGCCAGGTGAACTGAAGAAAATAGCAGAACTCTGTGAGCCTCAGATTCTTCATCTGTGAAATGGATTTGATAAGTAGTCTTCTTGCTCTTGGTTCACATATATTCATGTAAATAGGAATATTGGAATGTGATGTATAAGACACTGGCACAGTATCTGGCATGCATTGATTGGATTTTGCTAAATTTTAGTTATTACTGTAATTATTTTCCCCCTAAAACCTACAAACCTCCCTTTTTTTTTTATTTTAAATCCAGGAAATAACAGAATTTGTAGCTCTCTAGGATATGGCACAAGAAATCAGCCGATATGTTGTCTAACATGTTAAACTAAGTTACTTGCTATATAATTTTTATATTAGGATATTTATTTCTGGTGTGGGTGATTCTACCCAGTTTGCTGCAACTCAAAACTCCTGGAATTTGTGTCAGTTTATTTCCATCCCTCCCTTGTATCTTCCCTTCCATCCCAGATGCTTGTGTTTGCAATTATTTTACCTCCATCACAAATCTAGTCCTTAAGAGTTTACCAAATTACATTCCAGAGAACCTAATTAAAATGTCCATTTATTGGATGGACTATGTCTCTCCCAGCCCAGGGCAAAGACTGCCAGCACAGTGGCTTCAGAGCATCCAACCTCATATAAAACCACTAAACCCACTATGCATGCATGTTCAGTCACTAAGTTGTATCTGACTCTTTGTGACCCCAGGGACTATAGCCCACCAGGCTCCTCTGTCCATGGGACTCTCCAGGCAAAAATACTGGAGCGGGTAGCCCTGCCCTTCTTCAGGGAATCTTCCTCACCCAGGGATCAAACCCGAGTCTCCTGCATTGCAGGCAGATTCTTTACCAATTGAGTCACCAGGGAAGCCCCACCTCATATAAGTAACACCCTAATTTCTCAGACACTCCCTGTTATAATGTACACAAATCACCTATTTTGTGGACTGTGTTCTCCCACAATGGAAAAAAGAGCACAGGACCTATTCCATTCCTGCCCCAGGTGAAGATTGTTCTGCTTTGTACATGATCTTGAAATAAGTGCTAAAAGCAGCTTTCTATTCCAGGCTTTAGTCTCTTAATCTGAGACAGAGTATCTGAGACTTTAGTATCTGCCTACCACTCGAACTCACGTGACCCACCACCCAGCTTAATTAAAATTACCTCCCACTGAAGGACTTGCAAGTTCCCAAGGTCTCAAACCCCTTTGCCAAGGGGTATTTAGACTACTCACAATTAAACCCCCAAGTCCTCACACCATCTTTTGACTTGTCCTTTTAGTTGTAGGGGATATCTTACAATATTCCTTACATCATAGCTGCTCCAAGACTTTAAAATTCTATGAGAAGGAATGGTTCTTGTTTACCTTAGTATTCCCCATACTAACAGGGAGCTTTGCAAAGATTAGATGTCTAATTATTGTTGGAGAAAAAAAATGGGCCACTGAAAAAGAAGTCTAGTTTATTACAATATTATTTCTCCTACATTCTTGAATAAGCTAAATATATCCAGATTTATTTCTCTCTCCTTATATATATATATATAAAATCTTATGAAACAGACTAAAACTAATAAATGAAACCAAGAATTTTTATCTTTTATTTATGCATTTCTTGACCACAACTAATACAATGCTGAGTTTTTCACATTTCCAAAGTAATGCCTCATCCATCGCCATGTTATCTTATTCCAAATTACTAGGTAAGGTGGAACTTTTCCAGTTACACAAACAATAAAACTCTTGCTCTTAGATCTCACCCATAGCATCAGTGTTTGAGCAATATAACTCAGAAGTGTGGATTACAAAGCTACTTAAATCTTCTATTAAAAGGAACAATATTTTTAAAATTTTCCAAGATATAGCATAGAACACAAAAACACAAATATGTTACAGACAGTATTGTCTGCAGCCCCACCCCAACCTTCTGCTACTTAGAACGTGAACTTATTTTTAACAACAAAGTAAGGAATCTGCCTCAAACTCTTTTAGAGTGGGGGGAACTGCTGGCTAAGGCACTGGAGCGGGCCTTGGCCCAGGCAGCAATACGAGCCTTGGCTGAAGCTCTAGCTTGGGCTCTCTCTTCTTCATCTCTCAAAGCCTCCTCATACAAGGATGGGAAGGCAGTGGGGACCATATTATGGATCTTAGCCATAAACTCTAGCACTTTCATCTTGGTGGTTTCAGCATGGGCTCTAGAGCCCCACAGGAACTCATAGCACGGAGGATCACTATCGAACACCTGGCGGTACTCTAGGTAGTTCTCCTGCACTAAATCTTTGGTAATGACCTTCTTAGGATCCCCAAAAATGAAGTGCATCCTCCCCTTATATAACCCCATCACATTCAGGACTTCCCAGATTTGCTCCTCACTAGCACAATTGCCCTGCATGAAGATAACACCCAGAACAACCATCAGCAGGCCTGTCTTGGGAATCTCGATCTGATCTCTCAGCCTTGCATCGCAGCTTGCTTCCATTTTGTTGACAAGGATGTAGATGTGCCGGTAGGGATCCACTTCCTTCAGGTCAAGGCCAAAGATCATCTCCATGTGCTCAGCAGCTCTCTGGAGGATCTCAAGGTAGTGATTCTTATACATCTGGATTACTTCTCTCAGCATTTCCACCTTGCTAATAGGCTCTTTCACGTTATACTTATACAGCAGGTAATACACCATTATAAGCACCTTCTCATCTATACAGCCTCTGTGGATGGACTCAGTGGATGAAGTACTTGTGGCTCTCTGAACACCCTGTGGATTGCAATATGACCAAGCAATAAGTGAGCTTTAGGAAATAGCTTTGCAAGAGGAGAAAGAGGAAGGGAACTCTTCTCCCACTCCCACAATGGCCTGAGCACCTACCAGATTCTGGGGTTCAACTTGGGCCTGGCGGCGTCTCTCACGGGTACGAAGCTTGCTCTTCTGACCCCGAGGCATGATGACTTTCAACAAAGGCAGCAGGCAAGTGGGCAGGTGACTCAGGGACCTAAAGGAAAGAAGATGAGATTGCCATGTCAATAGGTAGATAGATACCGCCTAGGCCTCTACTGAAGGCCGGGTCTACAGGTTTCCTTGAGGGCAATGTCCTATGAGCCCCTTATTCTCTGATTTGCCTCTGCCCTGAGGACTCTGTAGAAATAACCAGGTGTGATTTAGCTCCTACTTCCCAGATCTGCCCGGGGCTCACTGGGGCTTAGAACAGTGGCTCTGTTCTGAGTTAGGGAACAAAGGGTCATCACTTCACTTTTGGCAAGACCTGGCATTCCTGTGCTCTACTGGTCTGATGTTGTCCCATTATTTCAAAGTCCTTATCACTCTGAGACCCCAGAAGTGGAAATGAGCAGAACTTCATTGGATCACACTTGCCTGGGGATGCACAGGAAATAAAGCGCCCACAGAGCTTTGTGGGACCCTCTCCATCTTTGGGTGATTAGGGGTCTCAGTCCTTGCTCAGTGCCCTCACTTTGGATTCTGGCAGGGCCTGAGACTCCTCCCTCTGCTGACATAAGACCAATACTCTCAGAGGCAAACCCTCAAATCTCTGAAAGGCCTGAGGACGTGGTTAGGGACGCCCCAGTCTAACCCACCTGCCCCAGGTACCATTGGGGGTAAAGGCCCAAATAGGATTCTCTGTGATCCCCACTGCTCAGAGGCAGGTGGTTCCTTCAGTCCTTACTCGGGGTGCTCACAGAGACTGTTGGAAAAGCTTGAATTGCCTCCCTCGAAAGGATCACGTGGCTGCCATCTTAGACCAGGCTCTGCCTTGCAGAGACCGCCCGAAGAGCACGTGAGGGTATGCCTCGGCCTCACCCGCTTACCCTAGGTGGCCCTGGGCTGACAGCAGTGGAGGGGATTTGCGAGGTCCCCTTCGTCATAGGGCAGGTGTTCCGGAGACTGCACCCGGCACCCGCACTGTAAAATGGCTAAGGGTCTGGAAGCTCCTCCCTTTCCTGCCTTACGGCTGCCTTGCTTCCTTTCTTACGCATTCACTTCCCCCGGGACACAGGATGCACGCAACCCAGCACCTCATGACCGGAAGCCGCGGCCTCTCAGGCCTAAAGTGCCAGCGAGGTGCAGGCTCTAGTAGGACGCCCACTGTGGTCTGGAGGGTGGTTCCCTCAGACCTCGCTCGGTGTTGGTGCCTTTACCCACCACCCTTCCACCTCCCCGCCTACCTCCCCCATCCCCACCTCCCTGCCCCGCCACTTCCCCCCATCCCCCACCCCTCACCCCACCTCTTCCGTTAGGGCCTGGGACCCTTCTGGCTGTTGTTTCTGAGCCAAAGCCAACACCCTGCTCAGTGCACCCCTCCCCCACAGCCCCCTCGGAAAATTTCAAAGCTATTCAGAGGTCCCTCCGCCAGATGATTCGTGTCCCATGTTCTCCCAGGGTGGGCCGAGAACAGGGCAGAACTCTTTGAGAACCCCTTGTATTTAGACTGACCGGTCCCCTCACTCCCAACGCTTTACTATAATCCCCAGCAGAGCCTGGAACTTCTCCCATGACTCTTTAACGAAGGCGGCTCAGACAACACGGGTGGAAGTGGTCCTGGGTCAAATCCTTGCCCCACCGGGGCTCCTCCCACAGCCGCCAACAAAAGGGGCCGGGCTCTGCGAAGTCCCCTAAGTTCCGGGCTGGTCGTTCCCTCAGACCTTGCCCAGGGTCCTCGGCTTTACTTTCCCGTCCCTCTGCTGGTTTGAGTTGATACCCTGGTCTCACCGCCCTCACCCACCTCAGTCCCTTCAGAGGGAATTTTAAGGTTCTTGGAGGTTACTACATTAGATGATTCCTGCTTGGATACTTTTGGGGCTGATGGCAGGAGTGGGACTCTGGGAGCCTCTCCAGTCTATGATGGGTGGTACCCTCACATCAAACTCAGGATCTTTGCTGTAATTCCAGGCAGAGCCCGGGGCATTCAGAGCTTCAGCTTTCAAGAGATTGCTTCCCTCAGATCAATGCCTTCATTTCGCTGAAACCCCCAGGGAAAATATTAGAGTGTACCACTTCCGGCCAAATTTGCCTGGCGTCTCCCAGGACTGGTGGGGAGAAGGTGTGGGGGGCGCAGAGTTCTATGGAGTCGATTTTGTCCTACACATGAGGGAATTCCCTTCGAAATCCCATAGGGGCGTCTTCATCTTTTTTTTTTTTTTTTTTTAAAAACTTCGGTTTGATACTGTGTATCCTTCCTCTGGTTCAGTTCAGTTCAATTTAGTTCAGTTCAGTTCAGTTCAGTTCAGTAGCTCAGTCGCATCTGACTCTGCGACCCCATGAATCGCAGCACACCAGGCCACCCTGCTCATTACCAACTCCTGGAGTTTACTCAAACTCATGTCCATTGAATTGATGATGCCACTCAGCCATCTCATCCTCTGTCGTCCCCTTCTCCTCCTGCCCCCAATCCCTCCCAGCATCAGAGTCTTTTCCAATGAGTCACCTCTTCGCATGAGGTGGCCAAAGTATTGGAGTTTCAACTTCAGCATCAGTCCTTCCAGTGAACACCCAGGACTGATCTCCTTTAGGATGGACTAGTTGGATCACCTTGCAGTCCAAGGGACTCTCAAGGGTCTTCTCCAACACTACAGTTCAAAAGCATCAATTTTTCGGTGCTCGGCTTTCTTTATAGTCCAACTCTCACATCCATACATGACCACTGGAAAAACCATAGCCTTGACTAGACAGACCTTCGTTGGTGATGTAACGTCTCTGCTTTTTAATATGTGATCTAGGTTGGTCATAACTTTGCTTCCAAGGAGTAAGAATCTTTTAATTTCATGGATGCAGTCACCATCTGCAGTGATTTTGGAGCCCCAAAATTACTTAGCCTTAAACCAAGACCACCCACACATGGTTCTTTAGATTTCAAAGGGTGAAATGAAGGGAATTCTGAGCCTCACAGCCATGCTGGAAACTCCCAGAGCTGACAGCAGGAGCAGACCACTGTGCTGCCCACATGTTCTTTATCATCTTTACTTAGGTTGGTGCCTGGGACCTGTTCTCCCTTTCCCTGAGCTTCCCAGGTGCAATGCCCTCAACCTTCTGAGTCCCCAGAGAGGAAACTCAGAAGGGACTACTTTAGGAAATCCCTGCACAGAAGTTGCCAGGAAAGAAAGCAGGGGTGAGGCTCTGGGATCCACTCTCTTCTGGGATGTGGGATCCCCTCAGACTCAATCAGGGACCTTACCTAAACTCCAAGCAGAGGCAGGAACTCTTCCCTCTGCTGACCTGATGCTGCCCACTTCAGATCAAAATGTTCACATCCCTTAAACACCAGAGACAGAATGCAAGGGAAGCCATTTCCAGTCACCCTTTCTGGAGATCACCAAATCTGACAACAGGGATGGGGCTCTGTATGGTGGCACCTCCTGTTCTGAAATGGCTGGTCCCTCTGACCTCATTCAGAGCTCTCACCTTTAACTTTGTTAGAACCTGGGATTCCCAAACTGACAGGTTGGTCACTGTCCTCACTGCGAAGTTTGATTTTACTATATTTACTGCAGATCATGTGATGATTTCAGGAATGGCTAGCTTAGAATCTTTTTATTATTATTTTAATTCTATTAGATTGGGATTATTACCATGAGAGAGATATAGCTTTGGACTCCACATATATCTGTCATTCCCAGTGCATTTAACAAGAAACTACAGCAGCTACAACGGTTTTCCATCTGTCTTATAAATGTTTGCACTGTAGACCAGCCCCCCACTCCAGTCAGTAGCTGGTAGCTACGCAGACCACCAAACACAGCCAGAGTGCTTCTGCCCTCTGGTGCGCAAAGAAATCAGAAACCATGGAGGCAGACTGAGCTGGAAATAACACCAGAGTTGTGTTTTAAGGCATGTCTACACTCAGTCTTAATTCCCAGTCACTGAGGTAATTAGCCTTAAGGAATTCCTCCTCCATTTTCCCCCTTCCTTGTAGCTGCATACCCCTTTTCACTACTCATTGGTAATACTTGCTCTATTTTAACTGATCTGGATCACCAGCCAATCCATCCACTGCACAGCCTCAGCCTCAGCAGTAGGATGGCCACATACACAGGGGAGGAATAGCTGTCTCTGTCAGGCATCAAGATAGCTCTTAACCTGGGACACTGGCAAGACTGCACAGAACCACCAGGGTAGTGAAGAGATGTACTTTCCCAATTCTGTCAATAACATCACTTGGTGGGTGATACAGGAGAGCTAGCTATACTCTGCCTGACAGTGGGTAGGGGCATTCTAAGGGAGGGTGAGGTATCAGGCATGCCTGCCTCCTGAGAAACCTGTATGCAGGTCAAGAAGGAACAGTTAAAACTGGACATGGAACAATGGACTGGTTCCAAATTGGGAAAGGAGTACTTCAAGGCTGTATATTGTCACCCTTCTTATTTAACTTATATGCAGAGTACATCATGTGAAATGCCAGGCTGAATGAATCACAAGCTGGAATCAAGATTGCTGGGAGAAATATCAATAACCTCAGATATGCAGATGACACCACACTTATGGCAGAAAGTAAAGAGAAACTAAAGAGCCTCTTGATGAAAATGAAAGAAGAGAGTGAAAAAGCTGGCTTAAAACTCAACGTTCAAAAAACAAAGATCACGGCATCCAGTCCC